CCCGCTGCACCACCAGGGAGGGTACTTTTAAACTTTATTTTGTTTTGAAATACTGGTTTATGGTGTGAAGTAAACAGCATGAATTATTTTAATTTACAACATACCAACCAGTTATTTTCATAATAAATGCCAGATTTATTTACATCTCTTTCCATTTATTTTTATAGCATAGATAGGCTGTCTAATATGTGTATTTCAATCTCCCTAATTTTTTATCCTTGTACCAGAACCATATTATTATTCTCTCAACAGCCAATATATATTTTTTCATTCTTTCTGATAAACTGATCATACTTTGATTGTATTTTAACAGTGCTTAGTGGATTTTCATAAGAGCTGTCGTAATCTAAAAAATGTAAAATTTCTAGATGGTTTCTCTAATTGAAATGATAGATTTTGATGTCAAGTAAATTTTTTATTTCCTGGCATTATTATATGTTTATATATAATGGTATAAGCTGGCTATTCAACAGGGGTCAGGAGTAATTTGTAGTAAATTTTTATTTCTATGGTATAAATATTCCCACTACATTTGATTTCAAATTACCAATGTGACACCACTGAAAATGGAGTTGTGAAAACATATGCACAATTGGTTCTCATGAGCTAGTACAAGGTAGCTCTATTGCACCACTATTAATATTGATATAAATACTCTTTCAAAAGATGGAGAAGTTATTTGCTTCCCAAATGAAAATCTTTCACTTAAGTTTTAATAGAGAAAATAAAGGCAGCATGAATTTAAGTTAGAATTTAACTTGAGAATACTATTTGTCAGTGGCCGTGGACTCACGGGGTTATATATTTTGTACATATCAATTTATTTCTGTGTATGGAAAAATTTATGCCACATTTATTGAGTTTTCATCGTCTGGTAGTTTTAATACTGTGCAAACCACACACAAAAAAAGACAGTGGTAAATGTTACTTTTCATTCCCCTCCAGCTAAATGTTTGAACAGAGTGTAGGAACCACTTTGTATATTTTATAAAGCATTTTCTTCTTCATAGACATATTGGCTTCTAAAGTTTATCATACCCTAGGAGTTCAATTGACTGGGCCATGTCTTTTTGCCCTTTTATGTGAATTTTTTACAAGCCTTTAAATGATTACTATATAAACTAAAAAGATTTTCAAGTGCCAATTTCAGTTCTTAAATTAATTTTTCCTAATCTTCACAGTAAAAATGGGACAATTGAAATACACATACAGTGTTTTTGATTTTAAAAAATCATGTTTCTATTATGTTTTCACATAGTTTAATCACTCATAGCTTTGATAACTTGAAGGATTGTGTAAAACATCTCCCACTGTAATTGCAAATATTTTACAAGATTTTTATAATGCTTAAAACTTAACATTTAATATTTTCTTAGTAATTTTGCAAACTTCAACAAGGGTAGGTATTACATAATTGTATAAAATACTGTTCTATTTTGCTTTTATAGATATCCACAAACAAGGTATGAATTATATGAACTGAACAGACAACTGAACCTGACTTTATCAGTATTTATTGGTCCTCTCATGGCAACACTGAATCTGGCAATGAAAAAAAAAAAAAAAAAACATAGCATAACTGGAAAAAAAAAATAGTCTAGATTCAACTTTACCGCATACAAGTTGATAATTTATTCTGTTTTCTGCATTATTTAAGAGTACATTGACTTTAGAGATACAAAGCAATAAATCTGT